TTTGAAATCTTGTAGTTGCTCATGTCTACACTGAACTTGGTGTCAAGTGTAACAAATTCATGTGTCATACTACTCATGATATCGGACAAGCTCATATCAATTACTTCGATGCCCTCTTCTTTGGTAACCTTTCCTGGAACACGCTTACATGCAACCAGACACTTAAAATTCTCTTCTTCGTTGTCGAACGTGTTTTTCGTTGGATAATACGTGAACACTGATTTTACAACATTCAACAGGGATTTGTTTTCTAATTTCACGTAGTCAATGATATTCAGTGGAACGTTGATAATCATCCATCCGTAGTAGCCATCTTTAGTTTTAATGTTTTGTTTGTACTTCCCGTACTTACAAAAAGTCTGCTGTTGTGCCATTGATTTTCCAGTCCGCAATCAAACTTATGTCTCAGTTGACACGTCTTTGACACGTGTTCGATCCAGTAAAAAGAGAAAAACTTTGTATTTCTTAATGGCAAGTATCATAAGTGGGTTGGTCAATTTTGGAATTCCTCTTGTTAAGAATCTTGTGAAGTCGTTTGCGGGAGCGTTAGGCGAGGAGGATTCTCTTGAAGGACAATTTGTACGGTCGCAGGCTCTTGGATCTTCGAATAGCCACAGTGCTCTCTACTCGTCACAAGTAGCAAAATTTTATAGCACACCATTCAAAGATATTGATGAGTTCAATGGAATCCAAGACGAAGCAGTAAAGCAGTGGATGAATGAAATGACTTCAAAGCAACTTGACTTTGCACTTCCGATGATCAAAAACATGTTCCCATACACGTTTACTGTCACAAGACAATACAAATATATGTACTGTCCTGGTGGAACAAAAGATGTCGAACAAATGGACAATATTCAGTACTTTGGCCCAGAAGATGTCCCACAGTGCGTCATAGATGGGTCATTCATCAAAGATCTTGTCGAAAAGAAGCTTTCAAAACATGCGTATTGCTTTGTCCCTATAATAACAATGAAGACGTCACAAGGAAGTGATCCCTACTCATTCAC